ATTTCCCTGTTTGAGTGAGTGAGTGAGTATGTTTTTACGCCGCTTTAAGCAATATTCCAGCAATATCACGGCGGGGAACACCAGAAATGGGCTTCACACATTGTACCCATGTCGGGAATCGAATCCGGGTCTTTCGGCGTGACGAGTGAACGCTTTAACCACTAGGCTACCCGACCGCTCCTTTCCCTGTTTGAAAAGAACTTAAGTGAAATATTGGAAATGGATAGTCAATCAAATTCAACAAACATGCTAAACTTTAGTTTAGTTTAAAATATATACGTTTTGCATCAAATGGGATTATATGCATCCTTTCTTAGTTGGTCTTGCTGTGTGAAAAGCTGCAAGATTGCTGAAGTTGCATGAAACAATTATCACTCGCTCACTCACTTAGGTATGCGATACAATATTTTACATACAGTAAAATTAAGACTGTGAGAGTTTCAAATATTTCCTATCCTGTACATTCATAATTGTTAAGAATAAGTGACAAATCATGTTTTATTTGTTTTGTTTTTCATATTTCCTGTATTTAACACTGGGAAAGACTACGAGAACATTACATCAGTTAATCATATATTCCTAAAAATAATAGCTGACTAAATATAATTGAAGCATTCCACAAAACAAACTACAAGGTGTTTATGGACAGCTTAATACAAATGTCCTTTCTGAATAATTTCCGATTTTACTAGGTGATCAGTCAAATTGAATATGTTATTTTTGGGAGACAATGATTGTACATTGTGTTGTAAATAACATCAAGTTCCGTGTAAATATTTAACACAATAAGTGCTTAGGATTGTAATTGATTGCTGATTCCTGCAGAGAAACATGGTTCCAGCTGACTTGATGACCATGTTATGGATCAATGTAACTTGTTCAGAAGGGACCATTTTCAGAATGGCAATGTTTGTTTGCTTGCTTGCACTCAGCAACAGTCAAACTCTATCATGATGGTATGTAAAGAATCAAGTCTGACCTGACAATCCAGTGATTGACATTATAAGCATCCATCCAAGCAATCAGGATACCATGACATGTAATAAATCCTGTTCGCCAATGCTAGGCATTTGTAAATTGTATATACATTGATAATATTGTCACATGTGACTTTCATGCAAAATACCCCAAAAATAGCAGTAATCTGTACATACAGTAGCCCCTGGTGAAAAATGAAAATAATCCTCAGCATAGAAGTTTGGTATATCACGGGATAACTCTTATGAATGGAATTGTCTGATAGCAAATAGGAAAAATATGGGGGAAAAAATTGAATTTGTCAAATAACAACTAAGGTTGATTTCAAGGAATCAGTAGTGGCTATCTGATCGTGGTCAGCAGTAAATAACAACGAGTAAATAACTGGCAATTAGTACTCACATGATTTTGCCCAAAGGAATATATGCAATATGCAATGGAGTTTTGAATATAACTAATGAAATGGATTAAAAATTATAAGAGAGAAATACACTGTGCATGTTCTATGACTGCCTGAAGTTCTTCACTGTGGATTTGTTGAAAAGCAATTTCAGGTGCTATCTGCTAACGGTAAAGTTTTTCATTGGGAGAAAATAAACCGTAAAAAAAACCTCCCTGTGTGCATGTTTAATATGCACCTCCCCTCTATCTCTATACAGTTTGATAATTGCAAGAAAATTTGCATTAAAATCATTTAAAATTCTTTTATTCATCAATTTTAATATTCATTGTTTTGTGTATGCACACTCATAACAATCATTAAATCCTGTAAGTTTCCAAGAATTCCATACAACTAGATTGACCTCTTTCCTGAATGAAAACCTTGCAACTTTGGGCGTCCCCATATTCATAACAAATTCGAACAAATTCAGCCCAGGCTAATTCTTCCCACTCTTCTTCAGCTTCAAAGTAACAATACTATGGTGTTCTTTGTGTTTGTTTGTTTGTTGTTTAACACCGCACTCAGCAATATCCCAGCTATATGATGGCGGTCTGTAAATAATCAAGTCTGGACCAGACAATCCAGTGATTGAGCATCGACAACGCAATTGGGACACGAAGACATGCATCAACCAAGTCAGCGAGCATGACCACCTGATCCCGTTAGTCGCCTCTTATGACAAGCATAGTCGCCTCTTATGACAAGCATAGTGCCTTTTACGGCAAGCATGGGTTGTTGAAGACGTCTTCTACCCCGGATCTTCACGGGCCGTGTGTTCTTTGTGAGAGTTATCTTTACATATTCATAAGATCAAGTACACAGTACCATTTTCATTGGTTTTAACTACTTGTAATGGATCCTGCATTATCTTGAAACCCATTGATAAACGTTTGATTAACTGCAAAGAAATGATTTAAGATTCAGAACTGTGGCTTAGTCCACGTTAGTTCATTAAAAATATTAATTACTTAACCAAGGGAACTGTTGTGAATCAAGGGCAGTCATCTAAGCATTTTAGGGCACAATGACAAGAGTTTCTTTTTTTCCATTGCACAACTTGTCATGCTATAGCTGGAACATTGCTGACTGTGGTGTTCAACAACATTCACTCATAAAACTGAAATGCACTATCAACCTTTACAATACCTGATAGTAACTCCCTTAACACAAATAATGAATGGAGAGTCACTGAAATTCTGTCCACTCTAAAATTATTTCCTGACAAGGCATTAGGGCTGTAATGATTCACCGATACCTACGATATCATCGATACTTCAGGTACGCACGATACTTGAATTGTCAGTTTGTGAGAGTGTGATAAGCTATAAATAGAAAAGGAACTAATAGAGTTACCCCCCTTGGCAGAAGTAGCATAGCGCCACCTACAAGTATGGCAGAACGCAAGGATGTGGTACCTGAGGACGTGCCAACTAACTGTTACATTTAGTAACCATCCCTTCATCTTAAACTGTTTTGTTCTTGTGGTTTTCTTGTAAAAGTTTTTAGGTAAAATTAAATAAATGTATGAAGAAAGAGGTTTTAGAGCTGTATTTCAGTGATTTCATACTATTTGATGTGTATTGTGATACCAGTCATATCGTCAGTCAGTATCGTGAAACCAGGCGATACTCAGCTCTACAAGGCAAGTATACAAAATTATGGTTAAATACCACTACTGACAGGATGTGTTTTCTTAAAAAATGACTCAAAACAATAACCTAAATTTCATGCTTTTTTCTTATTGCAGAAATTCTGTTTCCGTATATTGCTGTGTATAAGGCGAGTTTTTGTACCTAGAATTAGGGAGGCTTTCAAGGGGGGTCGTCTATACATAAGGGTTTTGGTGTTTTTTCCCCCCAACACAAAGACATTACAGTGAGCACGTAACACCGGAAATACCATGTCAACAAATCTGTTCTGACATTAGTAAACTAATCATGTAACGAACTTTAGTGGATAGAGAATGGATATATATAAATATATCATAAATATATCATGAATGCCATACACTTTTGAAGGCTTGTACAGGGGGGGTCGCCTTATGTCCGCAAAGTGTTAAACATCTAAGCCCTGCATCATTTCAGGCTTTCTTCCTACATCAAGTTGATACGCCGTCATATACCCATAACTGAAATACTGTTCATAGCAATGTTAAGCCAAATTCACTCACTCACAGACTCTCTGTCCAACCAATGTGTAAGCAAGTGAGTGAGTTTGTTTAATAGCATCAACCAATTCTTAGTAATGTGCCTTCTAGCAGTATGTTAAATGCAGGTATTGACTGAGAAACCACTAACCAGGATGCTTCTCTAACCATCCGAATCAAGTGTTGCATTACTTGCTAATCATTAATTTATAGCCAGCCACGAAACATGTAAAAGCACAGTCACTGATCAGCAGTGAATTATCATTAAGCGCTTTAATGAGGGATAAGTCAAGCTGGTGTGTGCACCTCTCCAGACCATCACAACTTCTCTTAATGATGGTCTGAGGGACCATCACCTTAAAGAAAGGGCCACAGGGGATACTTGAACCTGTGCTTCACTACAGCAAGGATGGGCTAATACCATGTATAAAATATATCTACTGGAAGAGAAGTGTCTAGCACGCAAACAAGGGACACGTTTTTTTGGTAATGCCAGGGAGCCGTAATTGAATCCTGGTGCCTATCCTATCACCTCACTGCCTTAGTTCTTCTCTGATCCTTTCAATTTGAGAAGATGGCCACAACCTTGGAGAAGATTACAAAATCTTAAATTTCATTTGTGAACCAGTGCTTATCTTCAAAGTCAAATGCTTTAAGAAAAAGTTGAGCCAAACCTTTGTGAAAGTTGAGCTATATTGTTAGGTTTCAATTGGCTAAACATATTTTACTTAACAATCAACAAAGTAATCCTTTTAAGAAAGTACACATAAAATGAATTGGAAAACTACTTTCTAATATTGCCAGTGCAAAAGAAAATATCAGTTATAAACAAGTCTAATATGAATGCCATATCATGAACATGATGAATTGATGAATTTAACAGAACATCAAACTGATGCCATGTGAATGACAATGTAAGAAAATGATAACCTTGAATAATAAAGAAAGAAAAGTTAACATCAAAGGACTAAACTTTAAAATAACCACAATTACATTGGTTATAGCTCGAAATAAGTTAATTCCAAATTGGAAAAGGAAAATCTTGATAACAATAGGGGGAGTCATCATGAGTTGAGTCTAACTTGTCCATACCTAATTCAAACCACAGGTAGACTACATGGTTTCTCTAACATATTAACTAGATTTTAGAGTTTCAAAGTTCACAAGTTCAGGACTATCAAAAATGTTGCCCTGTCTAAACTTGTAAATGACACATGCACAGGTTAAAATGATAAGATAATTGCAAACATGAAATTGAAAATCTTGATGAATGACAAATATAGTAGGAAAAGCCTGAAATAAGTTAACTGGCAATAGAAAATCTTGATGAATGTGACATATATCAAGCACTTAGATATGCCAAAACAATCAGAAAATCTCCTCATGTATAATACTAAAAGTGATATGAGATGACATAAGAAGACGTGAAATTACTTCATTTGTTTGATCTTCGATGGCCGTCATCAGCTGACTGCGCTCCGGGTCAGGGTCCTCCACTTCCTCACCCGCAGGTTTACCCCCATTAGCATGTTCATTAGCATGGCTCATCTAGCAGATGCTGGGGACACAACCAACGCCTGCTTCAGGTACTCCCGACGATGCAGCAGTGGTGGGATTCCTAATCCAACCACAGGTGAAGCACGACCACGTGCTACACTACACACCTCTTGGGTAATTTCACTCACTGCCAGTGGACTGTTGATACTGCTACTGGGAAGACCCCGTATATCCTCTTCCTTTAAAATACTAATTGGCGAGTTTATGTGCTTATTTCCTTTACACAGATGGATTTCTACACATTTCTATTCCTGATCACATTGGACTTCAGCTGACATGGGATGTTGATATGTGATTATAGCACTGTGCTATTCCACACAATGTCTTGGAAGGGAGATGCCAACACACGATGATTGTGTGTACCGATGGATTAAACTGGCAACACAAGCTTGTATTCACTATCATGGAGCACCAAGACACCTTCGGTCTTGCTCAGAGCCTGACTAACTTGTTGATGGTAATCCTTGAATGCTGCTTGCTCCAGCTGTGTCTGTTACAGAAACAGGCTGGCAGATGGACATCTATCTTAGCCACACAAGTGATCACGGATAAAGCTAATGGAAAGGTTATGGGAGAATGTTCAACTCAAGTCTTAACTCCTGACAGAGCTCTTCCTGTCAATGGGTTTAGTGGCAATTGTTGAAGGCTGGATATCTAAACCGGGTCCTTCAACTGTAGTCAAAGGGATTCTGCGACTGGCTCCAGTTGTATTGAGCACTAGCCCTTACTTCTCACCTCTTGCAGACAATGAAATACCAAGACTACAAGAGATGCCATAAAAATCAATTCTTCGCAGAGGAGAGTTTGAACATCAAGTATGGGAGTATTCCACCTGGTCTATGTAAGTATCCACTCACGATAACTTCTTCTTGAGGTAGAAGTAGATTAGATATCCTGCTAGTTACCTCACCTCCTAATTCATGTATGTATCCTCCCACTCACAATAAATAAACACCAATAGTGACCATGCAGAAGCAGTCCAATGACTGAACGAGCAGACAGCAACGTGACTCTTCAGCCTGTATCGCTCACGTCCATTCACAGTGTACGCTGTATAGGGAGTCGTTAACCCTTAATAGTCCACATGTGCAACAGATGCCAGGACAAGTGACCAATAGCAGGGGGCAACAATGCACTGGCAGGACTTATTCCCCTGCTGACTTGGGTGACAGACAATGGATGTGATAAATATTTTATGCCTTGCTCTAAAAGAAAGTAACAAGCAATATTATAAACTGGTTGATGCGTTATATCTCCATTGAAAAAATCAATGGTTTCTAGCATTTGTTGCTTATTGATTGTCCTGCCATCTGAACATGCTGTCTGGAGCACCATTCAGTGTGAGGAAGCAAAAATTAGAAGATGGGTAGGTTTACATATGTCAAAACTCTATCAAATCACTGGTTTGGCATAGGAAACCATTAGGTACAATCTTAGCTATCTCAGAACTCTAGGCTTGACAGTGTGATCTGACAGGGCAAAATGCCAAAGGGGCACACTTGGGTTTATCATAGGATACAACAGCAATTTACTTTGCATGTTTTTAATACACATTGTAAAAGGAATTACAGGTTATTTACTAAGAGCTGGTTAGGTTTCCATAGTCACAAAGTTTATTCTTAGCTGTATTCTTGCTAACAGGTGGTACAGGAGAGACTCCGAGGCATGTGGCCCTGGTGATTTTTTTTTTATCAAAACACATTTGTTCTACCAACTAAGATCATGTAGATTGCTCTCTCCCTGGTATTTACAAATTTCAAAAGTACATACAACACAGTAGAAGAGACATGAAATATTTATAGATAAAGTAATAGAGAGAGGGGAGAATATGTGATTGAAAAGTTGTTTGAAAGAGGATTGATTGAGTGAATGAGCTGGGTTTAACACCGCTTTTAACAGTATTCCAGTCATATCATGGAGTGTCCGCTTAAGGTGGGAGGAAAGCCTGAAGTCATGCAGGTCTCATATGTTTACCACTTTGGTGAAACCCACAAGCATGGTTATGGAACTGACAAACCTAGAAACAGAACTGGGGTGAACCAGGATTCGAATCCACAATCATAGCTTCCTGGCATGGCCAAGGGATGCAACTGTGCACAGTGAATTAGGATGCCTGAGATGAAGGTGCCTCCCGTGCCTGTTTGAAAGAGGACATAATGTATTGGATGAACATGTCTTTACACAAATATTTTAGTGGTTCATATATAGTGTTGGACTGCCCTAAATAGAGCTTAATTACCTGTACCAAAATGATCTGCATTGCCGTATGATAATAAGTTTACACAATTTCTGGCACTGACGTAATAGGGGTTTGGAATTTGTAGGAATTACACCATATCTGAGCTTGTTCTGTCCACATGCATTTAAACTCAATGAGTCCCTCAGTGTACACCCCAGATTACCGTGTTCAGGTCAAGGACAGTTAAATATTTCATACTCAGCTCTTCTGAGAGCAGACTAATGGGAACAGAGCTCATTATCAACATTTGTTCTCAGCAAGTTACTTAACATCTGGCAAATAAACTCACAATGTAATTAACAGCCTTTGTGTGTACAATACCAGAATATGACGTAACACGTGAACATTAATCCTGTGTTCCGTTGTACAAGCAAATGGCTTCAATAAAACTAAATTACCCACCAATACTGGAAATAATGTTTGTTCCAAGGGGGCATCATTAATCTAAAGGATTATTCAGTTTCCTCAAGTCATTCTATACGAATGGTGATGTTTGTAGGTTTGTGGTAAATATTGTGACAGTATGCTTTATTTATGCACTTTGTTTCAAAATTACATAGAACCTCAGCTCATTAGATGTATTCAGCAGAGGAGACTTTACCTTGGTACCATCTGGTAAGTACACGTGTGATAAAATGTATTACTGATTTATGCTGCTAAAAATAAAATTCCAGCCATAGACACAGAAGGAGACCCCTAAAATAGACTTCACACACTGTACCCATTTGGGAATTGAACCAGGACTATCGGTGTGACAACCCAATGCTTTAAAACTAGGCAACCTCAACGTCCCAGTATTACATTACAGGCTTGGGAAATACCAATTCTTAGGAACACTTTTCCTGTTATTTTAAGGATTGAAAGAGACTGTTGCGCAAATAACACTGCTAATCCAAGTGAACAGTCTGCAAAATTGCTGATGCAGCATAAGGCATTTACTTTGCAAATTTGAATATTAACCAAGTCACAGATAGTTTGTATGGAACAAGAAACAGAATTATTCACATCATATAGAAAAAAACTGCCTATCCACTCTCAAGCTTACATTACCAGATTTTGACAAAGCTGAAAACGTAAGTTCAATGTCGGATAAAAATATCACTTCCTTAAGTTTTGGAATAGGTTGGTCAGCAGGTCTGCTTGTTTGTTGTAGGCTTGTTGTTTCATGCCGCAATATTCCAGCTGTATGACAACGGTCTGTAAATAATCAAGTCTGGACCAGGCAATCCAGTGATTGATATCATGAGCATCGATCCTCGCAATGTTTTTTATGTGTTTTACGGCAAGCATGGGTTGCTGAAGATCTATTCTACCCCGGACCTTCACGGCTTGGTCAGCAGGTCTGCAAATCTTTTATTCACAACATCAACTTGAATATATATTCAAATATTATTTTTGATAATGTGTCATAAACTTGTCAAATATCTTTGAAATATTACCATACTTATAAAATTATAAGTAATTTGTTTCTCGTGAAGATCGTGGATAGTTCTTAGTGACCTCCCTTTGGTGCATCTAAATAATTTTGCACATTTCTAGCAACCACAACTGGTGTGTTTGTTTGGTTGCTGTTTAATGCCACATTCAGCAATATTCCAGCTATATGATGGCAGTCTGTAAATAATCGAGTCTGGTCCCGACAATCCAGTGATTGATATCATGAGCACTGATCCACGCCATTGGGACATAATCAACTTCACAGGTGCCACAACAGATAAAGATCTGGGGACCCAACATGGCAATGGGCATACTTTCCACGTGGAAAGCTCATCAGAATAAAAGAAGCAAGGCGCAAAGCGTGGAAGCTGAGAAAAGTCTCCTGAATTCATAATTTAGATATGTTGTGATATGGATCAAGTCCTTTCCTGATGTCACAAACACCTTTTTCCTCGAGAGAAGGCATTAAGACATTTTCAAGATTTTTTCAATTTATACTAGGACATTTTTCTGTATCACTTCAAATTCTTCTTGAATCTTCAGGACATTTTGGATGACAATCATACACTTTCCTAGAAAATGAACTGATCGGAATAACCACCTTATGCATGCTATTTCACTTTTAACATCTTGTAAAATATTGGATATTTATAAACAAATGTGAAGATTACAGACATTATTCATAATAACTGGAAAATATACAGATATACAGCACTGGTCTGTAATTAACTACAGTTGCCAGGTCTCCAGACAAAACATGCAATATTCATAGCAAAAATTTCAGTGGCACTAATTCTATTCCACCCCTTCAGAATGTTTCATGGCGGTCTTTGATTGGAGTCTCACTCTCAGTCCACACCCGTCACCATCAACATATTCCTACAGATACTCATCAAGTTGATAATGAATAAAATATCAACATAATTGAACAATCTAATGTCATCTTGACATGTCCACATTTTAAAACAAATGCTTGGAACGACTGCATAACTTAAACATCAAGACCCTTGTATGCTCCAACACTCTAAGACAATATGGCAGACAGGATATTCCTTAAAGGAAGACTTAATGCAATTATCTAACCATAATGACTTGGTATGTACAAACTGGGAAACCAGGATATAAAAGCTTCCAGCATTCATGCGAATTTTTAAGCTTCCATCACGTGTGAGTGTTCAAGGTGTCTGCATATTGATTGTGTCCAACCATCATGTAGACATTTCTGACTTGTTCAAACAGAAGCCTAGTCTACAGTCATAGGCAATTTATTGACAATAATCCAGTAGGTATTGAACCTTCCAAGGGATCTGGAGAAAAATTATGTCTTTGAATTTAAGCCCTTGTCAACTATTGGGTTCTGAAGTTGGCAATTGTGCACAGTGACTGTGAATGTGTAAGTTGTCATGGATTGAAATTCCTGGCTGTATGCCAATGTTTTTAAACCCATGGTAATTCTGGAGTACTCAGTGTTCTCTTCATTATGATGGGGATTAACCCTTTTACGGATGTTCTATCTTGCAGGGGTTCTTCAGGGAGGATCAAATTTATGATAGTGATACCGATTTCATCATCAGAATAAATGCCCAATATTTACAACATAAATCTTATATTCTGGGATCTCCTGCTATTACCTTCATGAATAACGCAACAAGGCTAAAAACAAATCGATCTGATAAGTCTTAGCATTGTCTCATCATATCATTTATCAAAATCAGCTGAATTAGTTGCAACTACAAGATCTTGTTCTACTCAAAAAATAATTTGTCTGCGATACACATAAACAATCTGGCACACTATGCAGGGTAGACATCATGTCATATATAATTATTAATTTGACACTAGTCTAACAACGTTTCAGGCCAGCGGACTTTGTGTGTTTCTTTGAAACCCGAACGTGTCACTATATGCTCTAATGAATTTGCCTACTCCTAATTTATCCACCTCTGGACACAAACACAAGTCTGATAGTCCACGACTACGACTTAAACTATTTCAGTATGGTACATGGCAAGTATTTTATCAGTGGTATGCTTTTCATTAAAAAACTGATCATATAATCACCTTTCATTTGAACCATCTGTCATATGCTGCTTCTGCTGCAGTTGCAACAAATATTGCTGACTTTTCAAAAAGCTGTTTTCATCAGTTCATGTAATCCCTGCTATGTCAATTTCTGAAACAACCCACTCAAACTTTGAAAACCTCAAAGGGCCCTCCTCTTTTATTAACATTCTACAAAAATGTACCTTTAAAAAAAAAAAACTTGAAAAAAACCTTTTGAACACTTTCCAAGCATTGTTTTGTTTACAACATTCCATCTGATACAAAATTGCTGTTAAGTTTCTCAGCACACTGTTAGACAGTCAGAA